GCTCATGACATCATTGAGGTGCTCAAGCTCCAGCGCCCCGACAAGGCGGTGATCCTTTGCTGGAGTTTTACAAATTAAGGAAGTTAAAAGGGAAGAATGGCCATCTGACAGTAGTTTTAACTACAAAGCAGAACTCTAGAGTGAGGCCACTATCATATAATATGTTTTTAAAGTGTCTTTTAGACTGTTTTCTTTTACTATATATGTAATTGCTCTACTACTAGCTGAAATGATAGCTCAAACTGATTCTCACTAGACACAATGATGGCAAAAGAAGAACTTCTTATTTTTGTCCTGGATATGAAGGAAGATTTTTGGATCTCACTGCAGGAAATATGCAGAATTCCCACTGCAAACGTTGCAACAGAAGAAAAGGTATGCATTTATGAGATCTCTTCTTTCTAGTTTCTCTAAAATTGTAGCCTTACAGAGTGCAAAACTTGCCAAAATACAAAATGACCTTGTGAATATCACAATGTTTTCTTAGGCATGGACAAACAAACAAATTGTACAGCCTGCAGAAGCTGTTATTAGGTGGTTTTCCATCTAACTAATACATGCAGCTGTCTCTGTTGAGTTACCAAGATCACACAGGATCTGCTATCTATAGGGCATTTAGGTTGATATGTATATAAATCTGCAACACATGTCATAATTCCTCATATTTTAATAGTTTACGTTCCACAGTTTGGTACATACATTTCTATCTCCTTCAAGGAGATCAGGTATGGCAATGTATATAGCTCAATTTCATAATAATCCTATGAAGTAGGTCAAGATTCATAACTGAGGCTTCATCATACCCACTAATTTTTACAAATAAATACCCCCACCTTTCTTCCAGCGTCCTCATCTTCCTGGCTGAGTGAACATTGGAATCAAATGCCTATATGTGTCGCTCACTACAAAAATATTGTTGTATAGTATAATGTACAAAGTTGCCCATATATACTGTATATTAAAAGTGACAAAAGTTTCCAAACTGTATTGCAATGTTTTACTACAAGTGTTACAGTTACACCAAAAGTTAAAGAACTAGTCATGCCATAGGATAACCTGTGTTATTTTAAAACTAGCAGGGATGACGAATGATAATGGAAACTGCTAGAAAAAGTTGGAATGGAAATAATTCACATAAAATGTAGGGATTACTTTAAAAATATCTGGGTGGGACAGATTATTTTCAATAGAAGGTGGTGAGTGATATCGATACCAGGATTTTATATTCTGAAGGGATGCATAGCATAATAACTGAAGATTTATTGGTTAATCAAACTGACCTCTAACAAAATAATAAGAATGCAACTTTCTAGTAGTTGCAGCCAATCACTCCAGTTGAGCACAGTGTAAAGACAAGATAAGGACATGCCCATCCCGGAATGCTTGGGAAAGTATTTCTTTGGTAGAGGAAGTGATCTTTTCCCCCTTTGTTTCTGAAAGTATCAGCACTTTTCAGAACAAGGAAAGGAAACTATTTAAAGATCAGGAGAAATCAGGTCCTGAGGAAATGCATTTGGCCATAATCTATCCCAAGAACCCAGTCTGAGGCTTCTAATTCAACACAAAGACCCCATTAGAAGGAAGCTATAGGAAATGTCAACTTTGGTCAGCTGAATAAATGTGAGTCAAGTTTGCCTTTGTTTTAAGTTTTATTGTTGTAATATCTTTTCATAACCAACAAACAATCTTTTTATTGCATTTGTGACTCCGTGCCACTTTGATACTTTAGCCTAGTTGAATTGGACTCTGAATGGATGAGTCTAACTAGGTCTGTGGACACAATCTTTGTCATTATGTATTTCACAAGTGGAAACAGGGAAGTGCTATTCTGTCAGGAGCTGACTTCATGCTTCTTGTTGGCCGGAAGAGTGCACATGATGACAACAGGAAAAGTGAAATATTGCACCATTTCAAAGGAAACCAATCAGTACAGATAGCACTTTGATCAGGGAACATAATATGCTTCGTTTTCCTACTACTAATATAGAAGTATAAATTGTTGAAACACAAGGGCATAAGAAGAAATGATTCAAAGTTAAACAGGTTTGTAATGGTGATACAAAATAAGAGCTAAGAATCTTATGATTACCTAACTGTCATTGCAATATCATTCTGATTTGTTACACCCTTCTAGTCTTACCAGTGATTTTTTTCGTTAAAATCTTTGAGCAACATCTTCCCCTGTTTAAGACTTATGATGGTTCTAGTAACAATATACTGCTTTATAATTTAGCTTCAAATCAATATACAGAATTATGAGTATCAGAAAAAAAATCTATCTGTATAGCCATCTGGACTAATTGATTCTCCCCCCACTCACCCCCAAGATCCTGTGCATCATATAATACAATATCTCCCATATGCTAAACTACCCACAAAGCTTAGCCCTCACAACAGTTTTATGCCTATTTAAACACCTTGGTGTCATTCAGACAATTACCTATTTAACGTACTACAGTAAGTTATAGACTCTCAGTTAACCGGCACTCATGAGAATCAGTAGATTTATTATTTTTATTTCCCACACTAATATCCCATCCTTTTTACCCCAAAGGGGACTCAGGGTGGCCTCACAACTGGCAACAATTTGATGCCCAACAAACGAACAGATTCCCAAAAATAACAATTACAATTAAAACCAGCAATAAAACATAAATTTTTAAAACAAATTAAAATCACGCAAGTTCAAAATCATAGTCTAGGATCAGTCCATTAAGTTTTTCCCTGAAAGACAGGATGGAGGGGGCTGTTCTGATACTAGATACATGCAGTTTCTGAGAGTTACTATTAAAAACAGGACTACCTAATACCATACTCTGTACTATATCATACTATAAACTCTGATACTAATTTCTAAATACAGTAATTATAAACAAATTAAGAGAAATAAAGACAAACTTAACTTAAACTTGCATTTCTGCTAAAATTGATTTAATTTTTATTTGACATACTGTATAATTTTTGTCTATGTTTGCTGGTTGCTTGAGGGTTCTGGTTAACTGAGAGTATTCAGTATTAACATTTGCAGTGAGTCAGTAAACCTGCCATGGTTACTTTTATAACAAGAATTCAGTTTGGCCTGTACAATGAATTTAAAACATAGGATGTGATAGGAGATATTTAACTGAATTTAAAACACATTAGACTACTGCTTTATGGAAGTTAATTCAACATCCATGGTTTTCATATTATGTTATAAAAAGATATGTAGACTTCCTTAAGGATCTCCAGATAGCTGTTTGGTTTATTGAGAGTTTCATGCTACACTAAAAGAAGTAACACCAAAAAAGAGAGAGAATAATTTGAATTGCACCATCATAGTGCCAATTTGTAGCCTGTGTTGGAAGGGATTTATTTGCTGAATCAGCATGTCAGGCACTTGAAAAGTCATCTTCTCTGAAGGCTTATTTAGTTTTCCAAGTCAATCTATTTGCTATATCTTTATATGATTTAGTGTAAAACAATATAACTGATGTTTATGTGAACTCCAGAATGCAAGATAGATACATAGCATCTCCCAGTCACTTAATCAAATAGAAACTCTTCAAACAAAGGATGTTCATTTGTATGTTAAGGTGCCCTGCTAAACGTTTAAACATGGAATCAGAAGGTCACTGATAAAATGGATATCATGGCTTAGTGAAAGGGCAAGAACTGCATTATGGAAATGATAAAGAAATTTCATGGTAGGCCTTACTAGGAAAGAAAATGAAAAATACATCTTCTGTTACAAGGCCACTCTATTTCTTCTTTCCAATTAAATCCAAGGAAGCTGTTTAGTTTCTGAACCAGTGACTGTTATCAGTAATCAACTGGACAGGGCATATAAACTGCACCATAATACAGATAACACTAGAGGTGCTCCTGCAAATGTATGATCTGCCCAGGGTGACACATGCTTTAGTTGTAGCACATTTGATTTACTGAAACACTTTCTAGTAGTTTGCTTTGAAAGTGTGCACAAACATTTCAACTGGACCAAAGAGCTGTGCTACACTACAGCACAGGACTAATTGCTAGAAGCATACAACAACCCTACATCAGCTTTGCTGGATACTACTCTGTTCTTGGGTGCAATCAAAGTTGTTGTTTATGCTCTATAAAGGTACATATGCCTCAGATCCAAATCATTTACAGATGTCTGTTCTCATTCAAGTCTGTCAAGAATTTGACATTTTTATGGGAGGCTCTTCTATTGGTCCTACTATTCTCACAGGCATAATGGGAACTAACTTCCAAAGAAGGATAGACTATCTTCTCCCTTGGTATCCTAGAATCAATAGATGACCTTTTATTACAACGGATTTAGAAGAAAAACCTTTTAACAGGTATTCCTTGCCATTTAAATTAATATATTTTAAGTACATAGAAAGGTAAATTACATTTTAACATTAATTT